ACAAAAGCTCCAGCCCCAGCCCCAGCTCCAGCAGCCACATCTGAAGCGCTAGCTCTAGTTCCTTTGCCCAGAACCGATTCTGTTGCTGTTGCTGTAGGTGGGCATGACAAGACAAACATCTTGGGCACCGCCACCAGACAGACACCTAAAAGGAGGCGCACTTTTGCCCACGAAATATCTAGCGAAACGAAACTAGTTTCGAAACCGAGGAGTCCCCGGGTTCCTCTTCCTCTGCGGCGACTGCTTTATATGATAACCAACCGAGCTGTACAAGGAGAAGGGGATAGGGGGAGCCTAAGGGTTCCCACTCAGCCTACGATGGGATCGGATGCGATGGGTTGGTTGGGATGTTGCTTGTAAAGTTTGCTGAATGGCTTTGACTTTGAAGCAGCTGCAGGCGGCAGGCGGCATGCGGCATGCGGCAGGCCAGCCACGTCATTGACCCCAGCGAGAGGACTGCTCTGTTCTGTGCACTGAGAAAATGCAGGGTACTCAAAACAAATCAACAATTTGACTACACAATAACTCGACTGATAAAAACCAAATGGCAATCAACTTGAAATTAATTACTGAAATGCGTAGTCAATGCACGCATAAATTATTGTGCAGCACCCAAATTAATGCGAGTGTCAACTGAGAAGGGTAAAGGGTAAGAGCAGAACCGATTCGGATCAGAGAGCCCCCCCCCCCCACGAGAGCCAAGAACATCCCCAGGTCCAAGTGCCTCGAAATTGGCAAAGAAAATCGAGCACGAAACTCATTTCCAGGCAGGCCAACCGGTTTCCAGAACGTAACTTGGGTTCAAGCCAGACCCAGACCCAGAGCCAGAGCCAGGCATTGTTCGACTTCAAACTCCAATTCAAAGTGGGGCTGCTGCCTGGATGGGATGGCATGGGTTGGGACGGGGCTCTGTGGCTAACCACAGGCATCCTCCAGCTTCTCCTCCTACTGCTCTGCTGCTGCTCCCTTATGGCCAAACGAGCTCTAAATTTATAAGATGATGTGACCAAGTCCAAGTCCAAGTCTTGGCCCGTGTGCGCCGGTGTGCCGGTGTGCCCGTGCGTCCGTCCGTGTGCTTGTGTGTGTTTGAAAGAATACATAAATTGATGTTGAAGCTTCGAGTTGGGACTGGCGCTGCCTGCAACTTGAGAAGTCGAGGCATCAGCTGAATTGGAATCGGAATCGGAGAATGTGCCAGAACAAAGACCGCTGCACAATGGGCAGAGGAAGTGCCAAAAGTTACACAAAAGAAACGAAATTTTCGGCTTTTGAAATTTCTGCAAGAGCAATCTGGAGCTAATGTAGGGGAAGTTCCTGCCATTTAACCCTAATGGCATTGAGGTAAAGAAGGCAAGGCCCCGCACCAGCCCCAAGCCAAGCTGCGAGTACGCGTACGAGTACGAGTATCTCTATCTAAATAAATAAACCCCAAATGATTCACGGACGGACTCTGACGCACACAGCCTTGTGGCTTAATGTGTGCTTTAAACCATATTTGCTCTAAAAATGGGTATCTTTTGTCTCACATACATACATACATAGATACATACTAGTAAATGCACGAGCATATTTGCAGATGTGTGGCAAATATTTACTCATAATTGAAGCGAATGCGGAATAGCCGAATACCGATGGTAATAGAAAGGCCCCTGAAAGTGGCAAAAACCTTTAAAAGGTTGTTCTTTGTGTTGCCTTTTCTCCTCTCGTTTTTTTTTACTCACTTTTTGTGCAATTCTGACCCATAGTGCAGCCTCTCCTCGGTTGCTTGTTTCCGTTATCATTTGGGTTCTTCTCCTCTCGTTTCTTTTTGTTTTTTTCTTGAACTTTGTCAACAAATTCTGTTGTGGATCTTTGGATATTCGATACCTTTTGAGTGGGAGTTGTGGATGGTAATGAGTGACTGTACTGTACTGCACTGGGATCTGTCTGCATTCACATTCAGTTGCTCCCAAACGCCGGATAACATTTCCAGCCAAAATTCTTAGGCTAAGGAAAATATATAAAAAAGTATATACAAAAATTTTGCTGACGCTAATGAGGCCATAAATGTATGTACATATATAAGACTTGACAAAGCCGCAGCCAAAAAGCGAAGCAAATCCAAGCCGTGACTGCGGCGCGCAGTGCAACAGTGCCTAGTGCCTAGTGCCCAGTGCCACAGCTAGTTGCGACTCTAATTGCTGCCACAGAATGAGATTACGACTAGAAACAGCAAAAACAGCAACAACAACTAGCAGCAGCAGCAGCAGCTCGAGCAACAGATGGTCAGTGATCGGAGGCGACCCACTTCCATGCTTGGGGTGGCGGTAGCGTAGCTGCTGTCCAGTCCGTCGGCTATCCATGGCTATTTACTTTTTGCTGGCACTGTTTATACTTACCTGCTAAGCGTCTCTGTCTCTCCCTCCGCTCTCTTCCCGCTGTTGCTCTCTGTCTGAGCGTTGCTTTCAATCAACAGGCAAACAAATGCAGCAAAACAGAACAGACGCAACAAAAAGTACATATACAAACAACAACAACAACCAAACCAACAACAACAACACATCAACTACTGTTTGACAATTTATCAATGATTTCTTTTGTTGCTATTGTTGCTGTTGTTGCCTTGGGGTCTTATTCTTATTGGAACAGGAAGTCGCTTATTTGCTGGCAAGTGCACATCGCACATCGCATTGACATTTACTTTGGATTCAATTATCTGAGCGAAAGAGCTTGACACTCATCTGTGGCTACGCAGTGGCTTTCCAACTGTGCGTTTGTGGTGCTCCCCAAACTGTGGAGTAGAGGTATGGGGAATCATTTTCCATTTACTGTTAATTATGGGAAACCACAAACACTGCACTAAAGCTGCTCTCAAACTGTCAAATAAGCTTCACAAACTGCTCTCAAACTGTATTGAAATTTATGAAAATTGCCATGAATGCTCCTTCGAGAGGCATTTGGCTGGCGTCCATTGGTTGGTTATGTTGCATGCCCAATGCAGTTGCAATTTCTACATGATTTATGGACAATTCCCTTCCCTCGCCCCCTTTACCCCACCCCCCCCCCCCCCTATATGTATGGCATACACATTCCGCATGCCATGCCCCACTTTGTGGCAGAACAGAATTTATCGCTGGCAAACCCTCCCCCCACACCCCGCCCCCACCCGAAAAAAAGTGAACAAAATGAGAGAAACTGTTTGAAAGTGTTTTAAACCCCAAAAAGAGCGCACAAAAGTTCTAAATTACTTTTGCAACAGCTTCCAGTGGGTTGGTGGGGGAATTCGGGCGGGAAGGGGAATTCCTCGGATTACCCGCCTTGACCCCACCCCTTTCCAGTGTGCCCCTGAACGTGGACGTTTTTTTATGAGCAGTCTTACGGATTGGAAAATCGGAATCAGAACTCATAAAATTGCAATTTGCGCAAACAACTTGACTTTGAGACACATCCCCCAGATCCTGGTTCCCAGGGTGGGGGCAGGGCAGGGCTGGGCAGGGCAACCCCCAAGAGCCGAAAGTTGGACAACTCCCTCGACCCTTGGCAGCCTCGGGGCAGGCGTCGCGTACGCGTATTCCCTTCTCATGGGGGTCTAGGGCAGCGACGTGTCTGCAATTTGCATGACTGCATGACTGAGACTGGGACTGAGACCCAGACGGAAACGGAGACGGAGACACAGATGGGTGTGATTTGGAAAAGGGAGGGGAAAGGGAGCGGCACGGGTGGCAGGGAGGGTGGCGCCATAAAAACCATTTGGCGCAAAGCAGTTAACGTGTTTTGTTGTTTTGTAGGGAGAGGAGAGAGTGGAGTGGGATGCACTAAGGGATGGGCTTTTACTGCTGCTGCTTTGGGGGCGTGTTAGTTTGTGTGGTTGAAATGTATGCGTCCAAGGGGTGGGTTTACCCGTACATCGTATCTGGGATATAACTATCTCAACAAAGTCTTGGGATACGTGACTGGCAGGGGAAAATGCATCAACCAAAGGATGTCTAAAGGTTTTCCCAGACCCTTTCGCTTGCAACTCTCTCTTTAAATTGTTCTCAGAGATCTACTGGCCATGCAGCAAATGGATGAGTTGATTCAAAGCAGAATTAAAACTTGGAGATCATAGAAAGCTAGGGGGAAATTAAGGATCATAAGTAACTGCCGCATAAGGGGTATGCCCAATCCCGGAACCATCATCCTGTTCCATTCTAGTGTTTATTTTTGTAATTATTAATAAATGTCGCACATAAATTGTTCGTCGCCTGATGCATTAACCAAGACTCCCATCTGTTTGGAACCTTCGAGCGGAACTGTGTTCTCTCTAATGGCAACATTTGGCACATTATGAGACAACATGCAACTGGCTCTCATGGCTGCCGCTCAATGCCCAGGGGCACTTGCCACTTGAGGGGGCGTGCAGAATGGAATGAGTGGCAAATGGAACACCACAAAACGTGGAGAGCACACACACACGCAGTTTGCATAATTAATGCAGCGGCAGAGGCAATGCCCAACTCGTTATACACTCCAAGCAGTCCAGAGTAACGGCAGGGAGTGCTCTCCTTCTCGCTCTTTCTTTCTTTTCCCCGCTGCTGAAGGGAGAGAGAGAGAGAGAGGGAGTTTTTTGTTTAATTAAAACAAGAAATTGCCACTTAAAGGCAACGGTAAATTATGAAAGTCGCTCCCGCTTCCCGCTCCGGTGAGAAGGTGTCTGCAGGCAGCAGTCGCTAGATGGCGCTCCAGTCACGCTCCATGTCTCATTAGCGAGGACATTGTGAAGGATTCTGTGAGCAGGAAGCTATACCCTATACATACCTTTGTACATATGTATGTAGGTATGTACAATATGTACATATATGTATGTGAATGAGAAGGAAGTTCGCCCATTGGCAAGCCGGAAGTCCTTTGTACGACTCTCGCACACGAAGGGCGACTTGAGCCACGCGAATGGAGCACCTGATTCGCACATAGAACACACACAAAAACACACACTTACACTTAACACTTATCCTTTGCCGCTGTTTTGATTGTTGTTGCAGGAACTAAAGGAGAGCTTCAACTACGGCCTCTTTGCACCGCCCTCGAACGGGAAGGCGGGCAAGTTCCTGGATGAAGAGCGTCGGCTGGGCGACTATCCATTCAACGGACCCGTCGGCTACTTGGAGGTGAGTGTGTCTGCCTGGTGTCTGTCTATAGATGGATCCCTCTTAATGGTGTGCTGCATCCTCCTTTGTTTTTTTTGTCTTTCCGTGTGCAGCTCAAGTACAAGCGACGCGTATACAAAATGCTGACCCTGGACGAGCGCCAGCTGAAGGCCCTGCACACGCGTGCCAATCTGCGCCGCTTCCTCGAGTGCATCAACGGGGGACATGTGGAGAAGATAGCCAAGATGTGCGCCAAGGGACTGGACCCGAATTTCCACTGCTCGGAGAGCGGCGAAACACCGCTGAGCGTGGCCACCGGTGCCAAGAAACCGAACAAAGTGCTCATCGCTTTGGTCAATGGCGGAGCTCTGTTGGATTACCGGACCAAGGACGGGACCACGGCCTTGCATCGGGCCGTGGAGCACGACTCCCTGGAGGCGGTCAGGTTGGGCTCCCACTCTCATTTGCCAAAACGATCAATGATCTATTTCCGCTAACTCTCTACTCTGTTCTCATACCCTTTTTCAGTACCCTTCTCGAGCTTGGGGCCTCGCCCAACTATCGCGATGGCCGTGGCATCACGCCGCTGTACATTTCGATAACCAGAAAATGCGAATCAAAGATCACGGAGAGCCTGCTGCATGACCACGCGACGCTGGGCATACAGGATAGCCAGGGCTGGAACGAGGTCCATCAGGTGAGTCGGTGGCGGTCCATTGAGCGCCAGTCTCGTAGATTTGTATCTGCAAATGCTTTCCCCCCCATCGAATCTCTGGTGTCGCCTACCCCTACCCCCCAAAACTGGTGTCTGACCCCCCCAAAAAAAGTGCTGAATGCCAATTAATATTTGAATTCTTTCTCTCTTTACTTTCTCTCTTCTCTCTCTAACTCAACTCTATAAACAAAAACCAAAACAAAAACAAAACAAAAAATGCTTGCTAACTCTATTTGTAACCCGCGGGTTGTATCTGCATCTGCAACTGCATCCTTTGGGGGCATCACTACCATCCCGCACTGTTCCAAACGAGACAGGCCTGTCGGCACGGCCTGGTTCAGCACTTGGAACACCTCCTGTTCTACGGTGCTGACATGGATGGCCGCAATGCGTCCGGCAATAGTCCGCTGCATGTGTGCGCCGTCAACAATCAAGAGGCCTGTGCCCGAATGCTTCTCTTTCGCGGCGCCCAGCGCGGTGCCCAGAACTTTGCCAACCAAACTCCCTATCAGGTAAAATGCCCAAAACGTAGTATCTATCGAATGCAAATTAATTTACAATTACTCGTAGTTGGTAGTCTTTTTTTTCTGCTGTTTCTGCTGCTGCTGCTGCTGCTGTAGTTACGCTTGTAGTTTAGCCTTTAAGTTTATTGTATTTGAATTTTTAATTATTTTGGTTAGTTAGTTTTGGTTTCGGGGCAGTGTCTTCTGCTGGTGTGTGTGTGTGCTCTTCATCTAATGCCAATGTCTGTATTCCATAGGTGGCTGTCATAGCTGGCAATTTGGAGCTGGCCGAAGTCATTGAGAACTACAAATCGGAGGATATTGGTAAGTCATCCCTCCCCATTCTGCATTCTGCATTCTCCACTCTGAACACTCGACTCGTATTCGCCACAGAACTTCAGATTCATATATAATCATATTCATATTCATATATTCAAACTCATATTCAAATATCCCGAAATTACCAAATGGATCTGGCAACCTACCGAAACAGTTTCCAGGTTCTAGTTTGATATTTGTTTTGTGTTTTGTTTTCTTCTCTCACGATTCTCAGTTCTCTGCTTTGGATTTGTTTACTCTCTACTCAATCTATTACTTACTTATTATATATCTACATACATACATACATGCATATACATATATTCTCCATCAATCACATCGGACTTATCCGTTTAGTTTCCTTCCTTTCTTGCGCCATTGAGCATTACGCTCGGCACATCATTCAATCATTCATTCATTCAGTCATTCAATCAGCTCTCCTTCATATCAATGTTAAATAATTAATCCCCATGTGTACTTATAAAGAAATAAATTTAAATATGCGTATTCCTTACCAGTTCTAAATACAAATATCCGTACATATATGATGCAATTATTCTATCAAAATTATCCACTCATTTTCGTATTTCGTAATTCGTATTTTGCATTTTGCATTTGCTTGTTTTGAGATGCGTTCATACATACATACATATGTACATACCTACTATTTGCTCTATAATTGTTACTGTTACTGTTAATGTATCCAAATAGTTATCCATTTTCCATTTATATGTATTCCAATCCATATTCCATTCCATATACCGTATTCCATTCCATTCCATTTCACTCTTCAACCGTTTTGGCTGTTTTTGTTCTTGTTAGTGTTTGCTCTCCTCCAAGCAGTGTTTGCTCACCTACAAGCAGTGTTTGTTTGCTCTCTCACTCTTTCGCTCTTTGCCTTTATCTCTCTGTCACATTTCATAGCGAAGTTTGTTTGTTCTTTGGCAGGACATTGCTAGAATGTTCTTAATCGAATGCTTTGTTTGTAAGAGTCGTTTACCCTCAGATCAGACACATATACTGTACATATACATTATATGTTGTATGTATGTATGTGCCAGTAAGTAAGAGTAAGTAAAGCTGCCTCATGGATTCTGCCTTAGAGTCCCATGTCCCAAAATAGATTGAGTAGAGCTCCACAACAGAGAGGAGAAGTTGGTAATTCGGACGGATCCCAGTCACATTCCCCACCTACACCTACACCTACACCAATACACCAATACACATACACATGCATATAAAGCGAATCCTTACTATCCCTACACCACAGTACCCTTCCGCGGACCGCCGCGCTACAATCCGAAGCGGCGTTCGGGCATCGGTTGGCTGAGCGCCAATGGAGCCGCCGGTGCAGCTCTGCTGGCTGCGGCTGGCGGTGGTCTTGGTGGTGCAATGATCAATGGCAATGGCAATGGAATCGGAAATGGCAATGGCAGTGTTGGCGGTGGGGGTCTGATGATGATGATGATGCATCAGCATCAGAACCAGCATCACCAGCAACAGCAGCAGCTTCAACAGCAACAACAACAGCAGCAGCAGCAGCAGCAGCACCACAATCCCCATCATCTGCACCACCAGCACCAGCACCAGCTTCAGCTGCATCAGCTGCAGCTGCACGGTCCGCCCTCGCCATGCCCCTCGGAGCATATGCTGGGCGCCTACAGTTCGGCCAGCTCTAGCCTCTCCGAGGGCTCCTCGGGACACCGTTCGCACGAGGACGACATCAGCATTGTGACAGGTAAACCAATTTTATTTTTATGTTTTGATTTCATTTGCATTTAAAATTTGAAGTTTAAGTTTGAGTTTAAGTTGAGTTTGAGTTAGGGACACACTCTCTGCAAACGATACGAATAATAAATCATGCAGAACGAGCGAGCGGCTAAGTATATAATTTTCCCTACTTATATACTATAAATACTACTACATATTGTGGGCATGCATTTTAAGTAAAAATAAATACACAGATTGCATGTTTTATTTACATATACGATTCCCCATTAGAATGGGGGATCTATCCTGTGTGATCATTCATTTCTGATTGAACAGGGGTGGCCCACTGTTACACTGTTGTTCTGATTCACTCGCATATCATTCACTCTGTTCACTCTGTTCACTCGGATGAATCACACAGCAGTTCCGCATCACATTCAGCATCCGCTTTGCCACCGATACCTGCCCACAGGCTTCTGCCACAATGTGCACAAGTCTTTGGACTGAGTGGCCTCCACTCTGACCCGCACTCTGACTTCCAATCTGACTTCCAAGCTGACTCTGACTCTGAATCCTTACTTCACGCACAGACAAATCCCTGGGCGATACGAGCGACATCATTAGCGACTCGTCGGGAGTGGGCACCAACTCGGATTCGGCCGCCTGCTCGATTGGACACCCCAGCACCACTGTGGTGTGCATGGAGCCGTATGTGGGCAACACAGTGGGCCACATCCGACTGCAGCCCGGCGACGTCATCGAGGTGGTGGGCAGCACCGACTGCGGCCTCCTCGAGGGCTACGTGAGGGGCACCAATCAGTCGGGCTTCTTTCCCGCCGACTGCGTCCAGGAGGTGAATCTGCGCCAGAAGCACATCACCAATGTGATGACCGCCAGCACGGGCATGGCCGCCCCCCAGCAGACATCGCTGCAGCCCCAACAGCAGCTGCAGCAGCAGCATCTGCAGCAGCAGCCCTCCTCCTCCGCCTCGTACCAGGGATCGCCACAGCTCAGCCTCGGCGGTCACTCGGGCAGCTCGAGCACCCTGCTGCAGCAGCCCCACCACTCGCCCTCGCTCTCGATGACCAGCAACGGGTCCTGCCAGCAGCCACAGCAGTCCGCAGAGAGTAACGGGGCAGGCGGAGCAGCCAGCAACAACAACAACACCATTGGACAGTACAGCAGCGCCACAGCGCCGCGCATAAAGAAGAGGTATGAGGCTAGAGTCTCCACAATCGAAGGCAACATCCACTAATCCCCCTGCTGTCTTCTTCCCCACTGTAGCGCCTACAATGCCCCACGTTCGGTGGTGCTGCACCGCGCCAAGCGCGGCTTCGGCTTCATTTTGCGTGGGGCCAAGGCCAGCTCCCAGCTGATGCAGCTGCGACCCTCGGAACGGTTTCCGGCTCTGCAGTATCTGGACGACGTGGATCCGGGCGGAGTGGCGGACATGGCCGGACTGCGGCCGGGCGACTTCCTGCTGACCATCAACGGGGAGGACGTGAGCGCCGCCTCGCACGAACAGGTGGTGGAGATGATCCGATCGGCGGGAGCCCTGGTCAATATGACGGTGATATCGCCGCAGTTCCCCCACCAGATGCAGGCCACAGTCCAGTACCTGCCCAGCGGGGCCAGGGCCGGCAGCCAGCACTTGTCGAGCGGACCGAGCACACCGCAGACATCGCACCGCCAGTGCGCCACACTGCCGCGCAAGATGTCAATGGGACCGGGCAGCCATGGCGGCTCCTCGGCCGGAGGGAGTGTGCGAATGGCACCCATGCCACCGCGAAGGGATCCGAAGACGACGCTGAGCGTGGGTCGTGCCAGGGCCAAGTCCATGGTGGCTGGCCTCGAGAATGGCGGCGAGAAGGAGGACGATGTGCCGCACACCAAGTCCAATTCGGTGGAGTCCATTGCCACGTCCATTGCGGCGTCCGCGTCCACAAGCAACGGCAACGGCAATGGCAACAACAATCAGACGGGACCCGGCACTCCCGTCCAGCTGCGCACGGCCAGCATCAAGGCCCGGCCCACATCCAGTCGAATCACGGCTGCCGAGCTGGAGGAGCTGTTCCAGCGGCAGCAGGGCGATGGCAGCGCCGCCAATGCCAGCCGCTATGCCACCATGATGACCAGCTCCCGGTTCCAGTCGGGCACGGACAGTGGCGCTGCCACGCCGCCCGCTACCAACGGATCGCCCATGCGGACCGGACCCCTGGTCTATGGCAGTGTGGCCGAAATGAAGCGCAAGACGGCCAGGAGCAAGCATGGAGGCGTCATTGGCAGTGGCAGCGGCACGTTGCGTGGCAAGCCAGTGGCCACGCCCACAGTGGGTGGAGCTGGCGGAGTAGGCGGCCCGGGCGGACGCGACTTGAAGCGATTCCACTCTACGCCCGATCTGCACGGTGCCCAGCTGCACGGCTCAGTCTCGTCCATCTGGCAGGCGGCCGGCAAGGGTCATCACTCGCAGGACGACGTGGCCACGCTGCACGCCTCGCTGCAGCGTCTCAACACCATGGAGGGCAAAGGAGGAGCCGGACCAGTGCTACCCCCACCTAATCATCCACCACCGCCACCGCCTGTCGGCCAGGTGGTCAAGGTGGAGACGCGCAGCAGCGTCTCGGAGTACGAGAGCACCATCTCCTTGCAGCAGAAGCTGAAGAAGCGGACCGAGAACGATGCCGTGACCAGTGCGGCCATCGATGGCGTCCAGAGCAGCTTCAATCCCTCGGCCAATGCCAAGATCTATGCCTCGCCCCAGGAGCTGCGCAACGTGATGGCCTGGAAGCTGCGCCAAGCGCAAGAGAAGCCGACACAGGAGACCTCTGCGAGCTCTCAGCAGCAGCAACAGCAGCAGCAACAGCAGCAGCAGCAACAGCAGCAGCAACAGGCACAGCACCAGGTCAGCCAGTATGCAGCTCCCACACAGATGCGTCCGCAGCAACAGCAGCAGCAACAGCAGCAGCAAAAGCAACAGCAGCAGCAACAGCAACAATCCCACTATGCGGCGCCCCAGGTGCAAGTTCAGCAGCAGCAACAGCAGCCGATACCCCAGTCCCCGCCCGCACCACCGCCTCCACAGTCTCAGTTTCAGCCACAGGCGCAGCCAGCGCCTGTTGCAGCTCAGCAAGCGACACAGAATGGAAATGGAAATGCCAGTGCAGGGGGAGGTGGAGGTGGAGCACCACCCATCCCAGAGCCGGACTACAGCTGCAGCGAGTCGGATGGTGAGGACGAGAATTCCATTCTGGTGGCGCGCAACACGAAGCTCAACGAGAAGATAGCCCTGTTCGATGTGCCCGAGACCAGCGGCAACAGTCAGGCCAGGTAAGCCAAGTGGAAGAAGAAGCCAAATCAGTGGCACAACGGGGGATCAACAATGTATGCTAATGTTTGTCTTTGTCTTCTCCCCAAAGTGGCAGCAGCTCGAACTCTGGCAGTGCGTCCATCTCACATTCGCTGTCGGTGGACGAGATCCAACGCATACGCAGCAATCTCAAGACCTCCAAGTCGTCGCCCAATGGCTTCGCAAAGAATCCAGAGGAGGAGCAAACGCAGCAACAGCAGCAGGTGCAGATGCAGGTGCAACAGCAGCCACAACCACACCCAGGACCAGGACCGGGTCCAGGCGAAGATGAGTGCGACACTAGCAGCTTTGCAGTAAGCAGCGATCAAGATGGTGTGATGGCCATAGCAGGTGGAGCAGCAGCAGCAGCAGTTGCAGTTGCAGCTACAGCCAAGCCCACAGACACCATCAAGAAGAAGCCGACAGTGACCATTGTGGAAGAGCCGAAGACTATACCCGATCAGCCCATGGCCAGCAGCAAGCCCATGGCCAAGACCACAATCAGCATAGGAGGAGCAAGTGGAGCAGCCAGCACCACGCTGACAGTCAAGCAGTTGGTGCAACAGCAGCACGTTCCCGCTATACAGCAGCAGCAGCAACAACAGCAGCAGCAGCTCGGCACCAAGCCGACAGCCACAGTGGCCACAATGGCCAGCAACATCAACATGAAATCTCTTGGCGGCAACAGTGCCACATCAGTGATGAGTCCACAGGTTCTGGGACGCATACCCAACGTGCATCACCATCAGCTGCAGCAGCAGCAGCAGCAGCAGCAGCAGCAGCAGCAACAGCAGCAACAGCAGCAACAACAGGCGAATCCCAACCAGAAATTGATAGCCACGCAGCAGCAGATCCTGCAGCAACAGCAACAGCAGCTGGCCCACCAACAACATCTGCAGCAGATCCTCAAGGCGAAGGCAGCCGCCGCCGGGGGAGCTAGCAACACGGCCGCCCTGGTGGCCAAGCATCAGCAGCAGTTGCACAAGGGAAACAGCGGCCACGAATCAGAGATGGAACAGCGCTCCGACCTGGAGGATGACGACGGAGACTTGAGCCCTTCGCCGCCTGCCAAGGCCTTTCAGCGGCACAACTCGCTCACACGCAAGCAGGCGGCGGCCATTGCCATGCAGCGGGGCGTGACTCGCACCTCGGCCGTCTCGCTGATGCAGTTGCCACCGCCCTTGGAGGCCGACAGCGATGGTGAGCCGTCACAGCACACACTGCAACGCCAGCATCCACATGCTCACCCACACCAGCTCCAGCAGCAGCTTCAGCAACAGCAGCAGCAACAGCAGCAGATCCAACACCAGCAGCAACAGCAGCAGATGGCCACGCATATTGTGGGCGTCTTGCCCAGCGGACAGTTGGTGGCTGTTGCCTCTGGTGCTGTTGCTGGTGGGCCGGGCGGTGCGGTTGTGGCGCAGCCTGGCAACAACAATATGCAGCTGTGCACCGATAACTTGGTCCTGGCGCCGCCGCCGCAGTTCTGCGATTGTAACGATGCCAAGCACGCGCCGCAATCGCAGCCCCATTTGCCGGCCAGCCAATACCATCCTCACAGCAGCAGCAGCAGCAGCAGCAGCAACTCCAGCAGCACCAACTCCAGCAACAGCAACAATTGCAACAGCAACAACTGCAACAGCTGCAACAGCAGCAGCAACAACAACAGCAACAGCAGCAACAACAGATGCTACACCACCACCAACGTCTGTCCGGTGGGGCTGGAGCTGGAGCCGTGGGCACCTTGGGACGTGTGCGCATCGTTGGGACCATGACCAAGGCCAATCACCATCGGCTGCACTAGGCTGAGCTGTAGGAGCTGCGGGAATCAAATCAAACATTTGCCAAATCGTTAATTCGTTAATTATAGTTAGTCAACAGTCATTGCCATTCACAAAGAATAGCTGCGGCTGCCTGCAATCGAGGAAAAGCGCCACAAGTAGTGCATTAAGCAACACATGACGGCATAGTAGCATAGCAGGCATAGCAATGAATCCATTTCAGACACAAATCGAATCCGTTGCTACTTCTGTATATTCAAAGCAAATACACAACATTCAAGTTCAAAGCGCTACACCCACAAGAAAGTAATTATAAATGCAAGAAATATTGTAGAACTAGAGGCGGAGATTATGTGCGTGTGTGTCTAATTTGTCGAAGCAATGCCCATATACCAGAGGGAAACTAAACGAAACACAATCTTAAATTACTTTTATTATATTTATTGCGTGTGATATAAATTTATGTAGGCTGACCCGAGACCAGCAACTAAACAAAAAAATATTTCTAATCTGACAGAGAAAGTGCAGGAGTATGTATGCAATATTTGATTATGTTAGTCACCAGATTCAATCGAAATCCCATTCCCAGCCATTGAAAACAAACTGAATCGAATTGAATGTATTCCTTCCTTTAGTTTGCTTTCGAACTGCACAATGTCGATGAAATGTCCCACATAGAAATAGCTACATACATAAATACGTATACATATATGCATAACATAACCGATTTAGTTGATAATGTTGAGGGGGCCGCCAGGGGCAAATTCATTTCTTCAGTATCCATCCATTGATCATTCGTGTTCGTCTTCGTGTTCGACTAGGGCACAAAACATTTAAGTGACATTAACATTATTAATTCAATACACAACTAGCGTAGGTTTTATATGCCTAACCGAGAATAAAGGAGAATACGATAGAAGTTGCACCGAGTAACAATAATATTTGAATTTGAGCATTTAGCCGAATTTCCAGTCAAGTCAAGTCAACTAAACTAAACTAAACTAAATACTAAACAGATACTAAAACTTATAATGTTTTTAAACATGAATATGCGAGTATATAACACGATATTCCATAGGCCGAAAATTTCATAATCCAAAAAGAAAAACATAATTGGAAATCGAAAACAAAAACAAAACGTAAATTTTTGCTAGTAAAATTTACAGATTTTTACTTTTAAAAGATTTTTTGTACAATTGTTTTTTAGAGAAAAACCCTGAAACTTGCCCAAGTATTACGAGAAAGATAACACAACGGAGGAAAGTGACGTATTATATTGAAAGAGGTTCTCAAATATTTGCCAGCGCTTAACGCAAATATTGTCATAGGCAACCCAAACTTATAGAATGCGTTTTCACAAATAACAATTATTATAACTAAGGCTGATTTTATTGCATAATTCATACAAAAACAAAACCACAGATAAAGATACAAGTACACATATATGCACTGAAGCAGAAAACAGAAACAGAATTCAAACACATTCATACACTGATAATGCAATTGAATAATTACGAAGAACTCCACTCACCAAAACAACCGATTGATGCATTTACACTGTTTAAACGAGGCGGCAGGCTCTTTGAGATATTGCTAGAATTGAATGGTTGAATACGAGTATAGTGAAATCTTTCCAATTGGCAGGCCGCACCTTTTCCCTAGCATCTAAGTGTTGAAAAGTTAGTACGCATAAAGCTAAACCATAAACATAATATAACATATGTACGAGTAATTATTGGCAGACCTAGAATCTAAATAGATTTTATCACACTTTTTAGTTCTCGCAATAGTTGCTAATTATTTGTAAATTGTTTTAGTTCCAACCCACACTTACACCCGCTTACATATACCTACAGAAATATGATTAGCCGTCAAGCCTGTTAGTTATTAAGTTTACCTGCCTGGGACATCCAAGTGGTTTGCTCAGTTCAGTCCTACACACGTCTAGACATACATTTGTAAACCTATATTATGCCCATTACATGTAAACCGATTACGTTCAGCTGTTCAGCGTGCAATTGCGAATGCCGAAAGCTATACGAGTATAAACGAATATTGAATATGCATACACACCAGAATGATAATGTTAAACTATTAAAGCACACTACACTCCCCACACACACACACACACACACACACTTTAAAAGCATGTATTTAAAATTATGGCAAATATCTATCATAAGTCGTCAAATATGCAATTATGTATTATGAACATGCGTATGAAGAATCAATAAATATTAATGAAAACTATTTGAACTGTTGCTGAGCCGAAAATTATAATCCAAGTCCATTCATGCCAATTGATATTTTTAGGCCCACAAATAACGGAGATAAAAATATATATATAACTGGAGAAAATAACTTTATAAGGACTCTGCCAAATCAATGATGTTTTTCCGATCACAGGAAGCCGTCCCGACCCGATCAGGGTACAAATAAAGGAGTGAGGCTTGTTGTTTTCAATTTTTATTCTTGACACCAAGGGCAATAAGGATACTGCCTTAGAATCTGCTATACACTCCTTATTTTTTTATTGGTCAGGGCGGGCCACGCCTCCATGTGATCGGGGAACTGATGAACAGTCTGAATCCTAATGATCTTGGGAAAAAAATTCCTATGCCCAACGGAGCCCAATTGGCCGAGATATAGCGTCCCGAACTTTTGGCTGCCAAATTTTCAAAATACTGGTTTTTTGTCATGAAGCTATATCTAAGCCATATAGCGCCCGATCTGGTCGTGGCATGTCTTTTCGTGACCGGGAGAGTCCTGCCCATCGTTTGGCATCTGAAAAAAGGACATCCAAGGAATACTGGTTTTCGCAAAAATCATGATGGTACCATCATGATTTTTGACGAAAATCGGCCTCACTTTTGTGAGCGATATTTTGATGCCAATCGACAGATCGGATCGTGACGATCTCGGAAAAGTAGGTCCTTCGAGAATCTGCCGCTATTTGTACGAGATATAGCGTTGTAAATAATACTGGTTTTTTTTTCTTTCCGCTAAATCTTTGCTATTTGTCCACCGATTTGGGAGTGCTTCACATCCTCGTGATCAGGAGAATTTCCCCGATCGTTTTTAATCGGTTTGGCATCAAGGACATCAAGAATTCAGGATTAAATTGCTATAACTCCGATATTTCTCATCCGATCCAGACGTGATACGTTTCCTCATGAGCGGAAGAGTCTTCAGTATCCTTTGAATTCATCAAGGACTTTAAGGACTGCAAGGATATTCCTTTATATGCCGTTATGTAATAAATTTGAACTAAAATGCCTATAACACTGCCATTTCCTGTCCGATCTGGGACTGTTTTTTATTTTCTTTCTTAACGCTTGATCTAAGCTATTTTTCGAACGATTTGGGCCTGCTACACCTCCTCGTGACTGGGGGAACAGACCTGTTTTGACGGAGTCCTTGTTAAGGACAGGTTAGTATAAAGACAAGTTAAAATTTATTTACAAAAGTAATATTTTTCTATTTTATTTTGTTACTTTCGTTCTGATTTCTTTAATATTAAAAGAACATCTATAAATGTTTGATTTGCTTCCCAACATTTTCATTTGTTTCTCGGAGGACAACAAACAGCAATCAGAAGACTCGTGCACCAATCAATATTGGCTAAACACAAACCAATCCAAGACGCTCGCTCAAACATAAATTGGCTTTTTTCGAGTTCATAGACGTAGGCTTAATGAAATGATCTCTCATTTGCGATGCACTTTCGCATTTTTCGTATTTTAAATAATTAAAGTTTTGGTTTGCCGCTGTCAGTTGTTTGCCTTCTCGTTAATTGATATTAAGTTATGATTTTCTTTTTTTTCTGGCCGTGTTCGGGCCCAAGCTTCGCAGAGAAACTGATCAATGGAACTGCGTAGCGAGGTGGCATCTCAATGATCACCTTACGATCTAGCTCGCTAGTTTGTTTCGCGTTGAAATATATATGTAATAATAATATGCCATATTGGATATAGTAATAATAATATGCTTGTATATATATAATATATAATTTGTATTTAATAATAGTGTATATATAATTTGCGGTTTTCGTATAATAATTATAAACAAATCTTCATCTCGTATCCGTATCATTTAGCATTAGTTACAAACTACAATTCGCGTATTTTTATTCATTTATAATTGTAATAGTAAATTTTGTTAGATTTCCTTCGTTTTTGTTTGTCTGCGGCTTAAATACTTGCTCTTATTTCTTTGTGTATGTATGTATGTGTGTATGTATGTTTATGTATATCTTTTGCTAGGCGTGTGCTGTGGAGTCGCTCTCTTGCTCCTACACATTCATGCGGATCCTTCCGAATCACGGTGGACACTGCAAAAATGGCTGTGAACTGTCTGTATGTCTGTCTCTGTAACTATATATTGTAAGTAGAACTGTGGAAGTGGCATCCGAGTGCCTGATTCAAAATTTCTATGGCCTCAACGGAACGTCTAACTTATGGACTTATGGAATTGCTCTAATTAGTTGTCGTACAATAATTTCATTGCTGGAATCTCTGGCGTTTTCTTTTTCTTATTTTCTGCTCAATAGTGTTCCTCCTCCTTTTCTTTATCGTATTATGTGTGGGCGTGGCATGGCATCACTTGGTAATGCGGCCAGGCGCATGCATTAAATATAAATTTCGATCTCATTCTCAAAACATTTTGTGGCTCCTTAGGACTAATTATACATATACTCGTAAATCGTTAGCGCTACTTTTACAAAAGTCAAATACATATATATATATATTATATATATATATATATCGAATCGCGTATATATGCGGATGTGTATGTCTGTTTGAATATTATGTATGTGTGTGTGTGTGTGTACATATATCAATTTATTTAACAAACTACTAATAATTACGTTTCACTACCAAAAACTACGCATAGTTGTATATATATAATATATCCATATACATATATAGTGTATATCTGTTAAATATGTTTTGTTTGCGCTTTTCTCGCACTGTTGCTCCGCTTTTAAAATTGCATTTAAAAATGAATTCCATTAAAAAAATTAATGTACAATAATAATTATAATTATAATAATAATAACTGTTTCTTTTTCCCGAATGAATTTTTGTGTTTTAAAAGTTCTCGCCCCTCTCCCGCGGTTTATTTTGTGTTTTTGCTTTTTGTTGATTTCTTATTTGATTCGTAGGTTCTCTCTTATTTCTCAATTTTTGTTTAAGCATTTAAAATATCACCAATATTTTTGCTCATTCCTCGACAGATTCTCAATTTCGTTTCCCCATTTTTTTTTATTTTGTAATTTTTTTTTTTTTTTTAATTTTGTCGATTTTTTTTTTGTTTTAATAAAAACTAAATAAAATTAAATACAATATAAAATGTACAACTATTTTGTGTTTTGCTTTTGTTTTGTTTCTCCCTTTTGTTGTTGGTTCTTTTTGCTTTTGCTTTCCATTGTTTTTAGTTTTAAGTTCTTTGTTACTTGTTATAAATTTGTATGTATTTTTTCTTGTGGCTTTTGCTTAAGTAATCAAATGAAGTGGGGGCGGCGCACTTGGCACCACTGGGCGTGGCACAAACATTTGCATTAAGTACAAGTGCTTAAGTGTTTTGGTGGCGTGGCATGTCGCTCCTATTGCGAGTATTGGTTGATTTTAAAGTACTTGTGAATACTTTTTGATTTTCCTCAGTTGATGGCCTGGCATATTGGTTATATGGAATGTCTTGCGAACTCTAGCCGCTGCCACGCCCAGTGTCCGTACGCCCTGCACCTTGGACTTTGTGCAGCTCGGATAATACAATCGCTTCCATGTGATACAGTGGAGCCAGCGTGAAACTAGAAATTATAGTACATAGACGAACGGAACTTAGCTTAGGTATACTCGTACACCCGCACGAGTGGGTATTAATTCACACACACAATTAACAAACAAATTAACTTCATTGGCAGGGACGGGGCATGGGCATGTGCATGGGCCAGGGGCGGGGGGTTCGGTTCAGTTTTGGGATGAGGCTGGCCAAGACCAATAACAACAATAGGCAACAAAACAAAAATTGTGAACAAAACTGAGGCAACAATGTGGTGGTGCTGGTGGTGGATGCTGGTGGTGGATGCTGGTGGTGGATGATGGAGACTACTTCAACGAATCTACGGCATATTGAAGTCCTGCAGATTAAAGTTGTCGTTGTCGAGGGAGTTGATCAGATCCTGCGTGGAGAAATTGCTGTCCACCGGCAGGTTGTCAAGGAATTCGAGACACAAGTCATTCGAGTTGGCCACCACCGAGTTGATCGTCTGGCTTATCGAGCTGGCGCTGGCAATTGTGCTGGATGCGTTGCCACCAACCGCTCCCACCCCACCTGCACCAACGCCGACGCCGCCTCCGTTGTTATTACTAGCCGATCCCGGACCGCCGCCCTGACCCTGGCCCTGCATCTGCAGCAGTTGCTGCTGCTGGTGCGTGGTCGTGGTGCTGCTCTGGACAAACTGCTGCTGCTGCTGCATGGTGATCTGCTGCTGCGTCTGGGTCATGTGCATGCTGGACATTTGCATCTGGCTGGCCATCATGTTGCCGCCGGCCGCCGACTGCTGCTGCTGCAGGAGCTGTTGCATCTGCATGTTGCCGCCAGCACCGGGTCCCATGTGCTGCTGTTGCTGTTGTTGTTGGCGCATCAGTTGTTGCTGCATCTGTGCCGGAGTCAGTTGCATTTGCGGCACATTCGGGCCGGACATCATGCCGCCGCCTCCGCCATTGGGTCCGCTGCCAGGCGCATTAGGGGCTCCGTTGGGCATGAAGTTTCCTGTAAGAGGAGGCGAAAGTTAATAACTGCAGCGACACACATTCCATCTTCAATCTTCATTCCACTCACCACTATTGAAACCGCCTGGGCCCTGCCGCATGGGGCCGCCGGGTCCGGGACCGCCGAAGCCCATTTGCGACTGCTGCTGGGACATCATCATGTGCCGCCATTCCTGCTGCGATCCTAGGGGCATGCCGTCGGGCGTCACTTGGACATTGGGGGGCCGCTGCTGGGGCCCACCCATGGGTCCGCCTGCACCGCCGCCGTACGGACCACCCATTCCGCCACGCGGACCACCGCCAGCAACGCCGTGCTGCTGCATGTACATGGCCGCGTGCTGGGGCCGCATCATCGGTCCCGAAGGAGGAATCGGCTGCTGAGTCATGCGGCGCATGGCCGCCGCCTGGGCAGCGCTGTTGGGAAAGCGCCCACCACCGTTGCCTCCTCCACCGCCCACTCCTCCGACCCCGCCCACACCAACACCGCCCCCACCCACCGTCTGCTGCATCATCTGGGCCTGCATCAGCTGCGCCTTGGTGGCATTGTACTCCGGAGGAGGCGGACGCGCGCCGGACATGTGCTGCTGCTGCTGCTGCATGGCCTGGGCGCGCATCATCTGCTGCTGCTGCAGGAACTTGGCCTGGTTAGGCCCTGGACCAGGAACCTGGCCGGGACCTGGCCCCACTCCGCCTCCGCCGCCGCCCATCATCATCTGGGCATTGGGACCAGCCGCATTCGGGTTCATCTGCATGGGGTTCATGGGTCCGCCCATCTGCATGCCCGGCATGCCGCCCATCGGTCCTCCCATCTGATTCATTGCACCGTTGCTAGGTCCACCGGCGGGCCCATTGCTAGGCATGCCTCCGCCGCCTCCATTGCCGACGCCCACGCCCACGCCAACCCCAACGCCCACGCCCGGGCCCTGGGGTCCCTGTTGCATGAGCGGAACATTGGGACCGTTTGCATTTGCCGCTGCCTGCGCCTGCGCTGCTGCTGCCGCCGCTGCTGCAGCTGCAGCCTGCGCCTGGGTCTGACGCTGCCGCATATTGGGTGGCACCTGCTGCTGCTGCTGTTGGGCGGCTGCCTGTTGCTGCTGGGCAGCTGCTGCTGCCGCCGCCGCTGCTGCTGCCTGTTGTTGTTGCTGCTGCTGCTGCTGCTGGCTGAAGCTCATGCTTTGGCTTTGGGAGAGCGAGAAGCCATCGGAGGGTACTGCAAGGGGAAGCAGAGATTAGCGATTGAGATTAGTTGCATGTGGAGAGAGAGGAAGGAGGGATGGGCACTTACCGTTTGCGTTACTCATATTTTGATTTGGTTGCTGCTGCTGCTGCTGTCCGGGATTGGGTCCGCCATTGCCCACGCCCACTCCGACGCCCACTCCAGCCCCAGCATTGCCGCTATGCGGTTGCTGCTGCTGCTGGGGATTGGGTCCACCGTTGCCAGGCTGCTGCTGCTGTTGCTGCTGTTGCTGCTGCTGCTGCTGGGCCTGCTGCTGGCTGAAGAAGACGCCCTGTTGGGCGGCCACGGAGACATTGCTCTTCATGTCACCACTCAGATGCAGATGCTGACCAGCCGACACCTGTTGGGAAGGGCAAGAACGGATGGGTTTGCCGATTAGTATGATTATTCATATGGAATTTTGAGGCGAGTCTGTCGCATCCACTGCCAGTGGGTCCTTGTTCAACCCCCGACCCATTGCCCATTCCTGGCACTCTGCTAATTTGCCATCCATTGCCATCCGGGCGACACATTTTGGAAGCCAAGACCTGACACATTGCTTGGCATCCACATGCACATCCCCCCCGCCACCAATCCAAAGCCGCAGCCAGAGACAGTTCCGCAGCGGCCACCCCAGCACCTACTCCATTTGAAGCTGTCTCATTTGCTGTCAGCTCCATGTGTCACACACACACACACTCGCAGACACAGAGAAAGAGAGAAGGAGAGAAGGAGAGAGGCTTTCAAGCTTATTATAGCCACGGTGGATTTTGAATCCTCATTGACTGACACACACACGCAGAGGCAGAGTGCAGAGTGGGAGAAGGGACCACGATGAGAGCAAAGCATAAATCTTTCGGCACTTTTTCATAGTCAACTTTCGTGTGTGTCTGTTCTGTTTGTCTCTCTTTCCAACTGCGGCTGCTGCTGCTTACTTCTGCACTTCTGTTTCGCTCGCACACTCGCATGGGCGAGCAACAAAATTTGCCATTCATTTGTTATTGTAATGGGCCCGACAACAGCGCAGCCGAAATGCAAAATAAGCGTAGGAAAGAGCCAGGGAGCAGCGGCGATCGACCTCCGCCGCTCTGCTGGCATTTCAATGCCAACCCTCTCCACGACGCTGTCCTCGCTGCCGTCCTCGCCTCGGGTTCGTCCTCGCTGCCTGTCGCCTGCTCTCTCTCTCCCTTGCTTGCAAACCAGACGCATCAGCAGAGGCAACAAAAATAAATCTTGACGCCGCAGCGACGCTTGGGCCAGTGACCATTCCGGAACCAGCGAACACCCTGGATTCAAAGTAATCTGTAGGCTTCATAGTTTCCATTACTCTTTCTTTGCGGTTTCGATGGCTTTCACTGTATTTGTTCTAGTTTTTGCTTTCTGCTGCTGCTGTTGCTGCTGCAGCTGGTGGGTGGTCTTATTTTGTACAGAGAACTAAGCATTTACCACCCAATCTTGATCAGCATCAACAGTCGCTTGGACATAGCCATGCAAATATCTATTCTGTCTGGTTTTATGTGTTCACAAAAATATAAAAAAGTCAAAAACGCACTAAATGTATTCCACTTTGCAGCGATATTTTTCTAATGTTCCATCGAACTGAATTTAAAAAGCACAGGATTGATTGTGTAGCTGGTAACTTGTCTTAGCACACATGTACGGGTGTACGGTAGCTGCCGTGGAATGGGGGCAGTGCAAGGGTATCAAGAGCTTCGCTCCCCAAAGCACAAATTTCGTTCATGTTTCTTTTGCTGCTGTTGCTGTTGCCTGGCTGTGCCCTGCCTATTGTTTTAATTTATTGTGTGCGTGTGTGTGCTTTCTGCAGCTCCACGCACTTTCATTCGGCGTTCGCTCGCGTGTAAACGAGAGAGCCGACCAGCCCGGCATAGAATGAGTGGCGTAAAGTACACTGATTAAAAGTCATGGACTCGCGTCGGGGGCTAATTGAAGTTTAGTGCCTTGGCTTTGGCTTTGGCATTGGACTGCTCTTGCCCTTGCATTTTATTCTGCGACCCATAAATAATTTCAGCCGCCTTTTCGCCTTCGAGGCTGAGGTGTGAAAGAGAGCGCCATGGGGGTGAGGTGGGGGTGGCAAGCGCTTCACTATGTATACGCAAATGTTACCCTGCGAGTGTGTTGTAATGTCTCTGGGTTGAGCGAAAGATGTGGCGGAACCTGCCATGGCCATAGCATACATTTTGGGGGCATTGTGTGCTTTCGGCGCCTCTCCTTCTTCGCACAATTCCCACGCGCAAATGGAGTCGATGAGCTTTGGGTTGAACATCGATTGGCGTTTGGGAAGCAGGGCAGATCGAAAGGAACAAGTTCATAAAACAAATCATTACTGCAGCTTTCATAAAGGAGCAAGCAAACACACAAAGTACGCCCACACACAGCACACACACCGCCCACACACACCATACATAAAATATCAATAAAAAAAAAAAGTTTAAAGGTAACGACGACGACGGCTTGGCGGCCATGTAGCCACACCAGGAGCAGGAGCAGGGAGCTGTAGAGCTTTAGAGCTGTAGTGGGGTGCGGAGGCTTCTGGGGGCTAGCCGGAGACGCCGCACGAGCGCGTAAATCCTGCAGCTATTACCCCAGCGCCGCCATATTGATTGCGCTGGAGACAACACACACACACACACACACACACACACAATACATATAAGGGAGAGAGCAGCAGCAGTAGCAGCAGCAGCAGCAAGGATTCTTCTTCTAAGCAGGAAATGCGCATTTGACAAGCCAAAAAGATTGCCGCACGCCCCACGCGCTCTCAAGGGAATGATATCCTACTGGATACGGGTTGGGGCAAGTCATGGGTAGGGGGTTGTAGACTGTGTAGATGTTTGGGCGGTTGGGTGGTTGGGCGGGTGGTTTGGGTATGCCTTGCATATAGACTTGACAATGATATATGTGACTATTCTGCACGTGTGTGTGTGTTGTGTCTGTGTGTGCCTTGTGTGTGTGTGTGACATATGTAAGCCCAAGCGCAACAAAAAAAACGGAACCAAACGGAATGAAATAAAACTCCAAAAGAAGTTCGGTCCCCTTTTAAGGGTTCGCGTTTTTAGGTGGGGTGAAGCGGAGCAACAGAGCGACAGAGCGACACTGTATCTGGTACTAACACTTAGCTGACCAGGCACAACTGTACATACAACATGCCCCGGTAGCCCTTGGAACTTGACGCAAGCCCAAAAACTGCACTTAGGCTAATCGAAAATCACACCCCCGCCCGTCCATTCACAGAAAACAGGTGCGAAAAATCTCAACAAAAAGGCATTTTGATTAATTATTTTACAGACAAAAACCCCACTCCGTTCCTGCAGTCTAGACCCGTACAGAAGAAGAAGAAGAAGTCACTTTTCCATGCTAAAATAGTAGTGTGTAGTAGCTATAATTGAAGTTACTTAAAGTAAGTAGAACAGGAGGCGGGCAGGCAGGCAGCCAGGCAGCAACATCCCAGAGCCAACAGCCAACAGCCCACATATCCAATCCACACTTTGTGCCGTGTCTGGCAACGGACCAAAAATTGAAGAGTCAATGAAATTAGCAAAGAGAGGCGGCGGCCACGCCTACTGACCGCCCACTAACAACAACCCAAAACATGACTTAGTCTGCGCTTTGCTTTAGTTTCGCTTTTCGCTCCCATTTTCCATATTTCTCCGCCTGCCATTTCCTTTCCTTTCCCATCCCTTCTCTTCCTTTTTTTTTGGCAGTGAAGCCAAAAAATCCAAAATGAAGCCAAGAGAATGTACGACAGGCGTACAGGGTGGGTGGGCGGTAGAGGTGGAAGTGGGGCACCCTGTTGGGTGTCTGTCATGTGATATTTGTGCGACATAAACTAGCTGCTGCCTCTGCTCGCCATGCCTCTCCTCTCTACACTGAACTTCTCTTCGTTCTGTGTTCTTTAACAAAATTATGACAAGGAGAAAGAGAGAGAGAGAGAAAAGGAGCTGAAGAAAATCTCGTTTGGCAAAGCGTTAAAGCGAAGCGAATTTGATTTTTAATTGTCAGAGACAAGCAAGCAAAAAAACAGATCCTTAAGCTGACATTAATGAATGTTAATAGTTTTAATATATTTATAGATTCTATGCGGAAATAAAAATCGTAGAAATGTCATACGGAATATGCATCTGAGTACCCGCCTAGTCCCCAAAAAAGAGCCCGAAACACACCATAAAGTAACCAAAGACAGAAATCGAAAGGATTTCTAACAAGATTTTACACATTCAAGCAATCGAAGTAGACCCCCAAATCCACTGTTGTGGCATTTCCTTTAATTATGCTCACATTGGGTGTCAGATTCCCTGCACTGACTGACTACTGCTCCTCAGCAAACTCAATCCAATCGCATTCCTGGCCTGGCCATGCCTTCCAGGGCAATCTGCAATCCTCGACAGGTTGCCAGGATGCGAGCGGAGCGGTTATAACTTTCACAGAACAACAACAACAAGGAAGACCAAGGAAGACATACGAGTATATCCATTGCCATTCTCATCCAGAGTCCCATCATCATCATCATCATCACCATCCACATCAGCATCGTTGTTGATGCCGGCATATCAGCTAACTTTCAACGCGGCAAGCGGTGGGCTCCACTATATGCCAGGTCCCAAGGGATGGCAGGTCCCGTTCCCACAGCGAAGGAGATATAAGGTAAGGGGGGAGGAGAGAGTGGAATATGCACATGCATATGCATGTGTGGGTGTGTGGGTGTGTGAAAACTTTTGAAACAGTTGCAGTTTGCACACAATGCCAGACAATCTGCAACCAGCGACCCCAACTATCGGGGGAATGAGAGAAAGGGGAAGGCATGGATGAACACAATAGCTGACGGACTCAACTCCCACTACCCAACCACCCACCCACCATCCCACCCCCCCTGCTTGAATGCGGTTCCTGCAACATCGGTGTCCATGTCCGTGCGTGTGTTTGTGTGTGTGTGTGTTGGGGCTGCTGCTGCAGCATGTCAATGATCATAAATTAAACTTGCAATAATTATAAATTAAATTTTGGCATAAATGGCCCTAAGAGCCGCTTCCCATACCCCACCTCGTCCCATTCCCAATACATACAGAAGAGTAGAAGGACGAGCCACCCTCCCACTCCCACTGCCACTGCCACTCCGACTTCCCCTCGCCTATTTGTGCCCCAAAATGAACTGCACTATATGCATATGTCATTCGGTCTGGTTGGGTCGTAGTGCAGCATGGAGCTCGCTTAAATTATTGGGGGGGTTTGGGGGCGTTGGATCGATTCGATTCGGTTTGTTTGTTTGCTCGTTCTGGGTGTCCACATACACATACATACGTAAATGCACGTGGAGGCACTTGCAACTCAGGCACACCTGTGTGT